CTGTGGCAGCCTTCTCTCTGCACAGCCGTATGTGAAGTACCGCTGGATCTAATAGAGGTTTGATTGTTTTATTTGCCAAAATGTTTGTTTGATTTCTGTTTATTTGACTGTGTTCATTATAATTCATTCATTATTCATGTTCATTATTATTAGCTCGTCTGCGGCAACCAGGGCTGACCTTAGCCCGTCTGCGGCAGCTAGAGCTGATGTTAGCTCGTCTTTGCTCATAAAACTCTGATAGATTTGTTTGTTGAATTTTTTTTTTTTTTTTCTTATTTAGGTACTTATGGTGGCAGCATCTTTATCATACAGTTTGATTGTCTTCCAGAAGTTTCAGCTTGTTAGCTAGAAACAGAGCGTGGTCCTTTAAAGACAAACAATCCTCAATTAAAAATCAAAGTATTTCAAACTGCACACCAAATCAAGTTCTTCTTTCTTTATATTCTTCAGTCAGAGGAGATTTCATGTTTGCTGAAGTAGTAAAAACATTTTGTTTTGTCATGAGGACAAACTGTTCATTTCCTCATGAAATCTTGATAAATGAGCTGGAAACTTCCCTCTCAGTGTTTGAACTTCTAACTCCTGTCTGGAAGCTGCAGGGTGGAGGAGAAGCAGCTGACGGAGCAGAGAGGTGTGCAGCTCACCTGTTAATGTTGGCAGAGATGATGCTTTTAACGGGCATGCTCTTTGGACCAGAAGCAGGATGAAACACTGGCCCCTGATTGGTCGGTTTGGAGCAACGAGGGGCATATGGATCAGCAGAATGGGAAGGATAGGCATCAAATGTTCCAGCCTTCATCCCCCCGATCTGAGGCGGGAAACAATACGAACAAACATCAAGACGAATGCATCAATCATCAACAATCTTTACTCATCATTGAACCAAGCAATGCGTCACCCGTTTGCTGGGGGACGGGGGCTTGAAAGGAACCATGGGAACCTTCTTCTGGAGTGGGCGGGGCTTCTGGGCAGGTGGGAGTGTCTTGGAGCTATGGTAAGGATTGTCCTGGAAATAATCCTGTGGGTGAAGATTGATCCTGAAGGGTCCGTCTCTGAGTTTGGAGCGATGGATCGCCCCTTCCCTCTGTACACAGGCAGATTTAATGAGTCAGTTAAAGAGTCACAGGTGGAAACATGCTGCAGGCTGCGCTGCATGTCCTACAGGCTGCATCCTCCAAACATTTTGCCTGGTTTTAATAAAAAAACATAGCATCTAATTTGGCTGTTTCCATGCATTAAACTAGCCCCAGGTCCCTCCAGGGGGTCCATCCTTTTTAAAATTAGCAGGCCTGTTGGAGAGTTTTGTGTTCAGCAGGATGTTCTGCAATGCTTTGTTCCACCAACAGAAGAAGATGAGTGTACCAAGCTTTTTCTTTTTATACTTTTAAATATTTTCACCAAAGAAAGTTTTTTTTCCTGTTTATAAGAAAATCTATTTTTATATCTGCTGGGCCTCTGCTGCTGTGGCTACTGGCTGTCATAATATCAGCTGGTTAACCATTTCCTGTCAATCAATCAGTCTCAGAAAGTAGGAAAAAAAAAAGTACACCCCAAAATAACTCGTCAGTTCATCAGGATTATGATCCTACTTTTAAATATGCTTTTAGGGAGCGGCAAACTCAGCTGTCAGGGCCGTCTGGTTGCTAAGCTAGCTAAGTTAACTGGGTGGTAGTCTAGCAGCATAGGTAACCTCATCTCGCTCTATGGCTTTGTCCGATGGTCCACACTAACCCCTACATAGAGCAACACAAGAGTTACGCCATTTTAGGTGAGTGTCAGAAAGTCTAATGGATGAAAAATTAGTGGACTCGAAATTTTCCACAATGCACCTTGAAAAGTAGTGATCACCCATGGTCACTAGATGAGCAGATATATCCCAGAATGCTTTGCAAGAGCTCTCGCAAAGCTCTGTGTTTCCAACATGAAGCTTTCTCTCTCCAGTTCTTTTCCTGAGCAGAGATCACTAAGAATAAACTCCTTAAATAACCCTTCATAGTGTTTATGTATTAAATAACCAGGAGACATGATAACAGACAGAAATTATAATCTTACTCAGATCAGAGAAGTTGCTTAGAGTTACAGAAGGCAGCTGCTCACCAACTGGTCTGACTTCTCCATGAAGTGGCCCCGAATCACAGTTAGAGAAACATTTTATCTCCCAAAACACCAGACGTCAT